GCGTGTAGTAATAGGAAGAAGCTAAAAACACAAGTGCGCGCTAAAAAAGGTAAGCTAAGTTAAAGGTAATATAGGCAGTGTAATTAGACTAGGCATAACTTGCATATGTGTAAGTAAGTAGTAAAAGTAGACTCTAAATAATATCTTATGTTATATTACTTTATATAGGGCTAAAGTGGGCTGTTTTGCAAGAGAATAGGGTGGTTTTAGTAGGGGCTTAGCAAAAGTGGCCGGCCAACCCGTGTGGCCGGCCAACCTGTTAGGTACGTTACTATTATTTAAACATAGGTTCTTTGCTATTTATAAGGTTCTTAATCTTAGGTGTGCGTTTAGTAAAGTAGCTTTAAAAAAGCTTAAAAGTGCCTAAAAAGTCTCTTACTATTAGTGTAGTAAAGGTAATTTAGAGTATTATTAGAGATAATTTAGTAGCTAGTAGAAGATAATTAAAACTAATAGTTTTTAATTTAGTTAGCTGTTTAATTTATGCTTTTAATTAAGTAACTTAGTCTTTAAAGGCTATACTACTAGGGTTTAACTCTAAATCTAGTAGGTTTTTAGCTTTAAGTCCTATAAAAGAGGGTTTAGCTGTTAAGGTTAGTAGTTGTTTAGCTTTAGTAGTAGGCATCTTACCTTAGCTACAGCCTAAGTGTGTTATAAGCTTTTTACTAAAGTCTAAGAGTAGTTAAGAGTTAGGCATTAGTAGTTATCTCTAATTCTAATAAGTTATTAGTAGTCTTTAGGTTTCTACCTTAGCGTACTTTTTATAACTTTTCTAAAAGTAATCTTAATTATAAAGGATAGAAAGTTCTAAACCTAAAAGCTTTAGTTAGTAGAAAGTTTTTAAAATCTTATTTATAATAACTAAATAATTTAATATAACAGTGTGTAAAAACTGCAACTTAAACTAAATTAAACACTTTTTAAAGTTAGATGTAGTTAAATAAATAATTAATATAATATTATTAATAAGGCTGTTACTAGCAAAAGTAAGTTTTCTAATATAATATAACAGCACAGGCAAGACAATAGGTCTAAATGCAGAGGGAATCCACTTAGAGGCATATAGGAGTGTGTAGGGACTCTAAACCTAGGAATGCTATTAACACCTATAGGCCTTATATAAAAGGATATTAGAAAACTACTAAGCTAGCTACAGGGCAAGGGGCGACTAAATACATGAGGGAATAGGGGTAACTGCAGAGGACTAGGTCAAGTCATAGTCGGGGCCAATACAGGGACCCTTCGGATAGGATCCAAGCGACCCGAGATGGAACAATTCGTAGAATCGTTATACTTCACAGGCGAGTTGCTTACACACCTAAGTTGCTTACTTTTGCTAAGACCACACTCTAACAAACTCTATTATAGCCTATAACAACCTGCTCTAGCACTATATAGTACAGTACAGCCTAGAATATTATTTAGATACTACTTCTACTTCTTACTTACATATTTGCGTGTTATGCCTAGTCTAATTGCACTATCTACAGCGCCTTTAGAATAGCTTACCTACTTTAGCTTACACCTACTTTTTTGCCTTTTTTCTGTTACTACACGCTTTAAACTTCTTTAGCGCTATTAAGCGTAGGCTTTTTTAAATTATTAAAGTTTTTTTTACTTTAATCTACTTTTTTTATATAATTTATATTATGTAGTAGCTTTATTAGCTACTTAAAGCTTAGTAATTTTCTAGTACACTAACACTAGCTTATGCGTAATTATTACTACTCTTTTTAAAACTTTTTTAAACACTTTAACTATAGCAGTTAGTAAACTACTTATATACTTTTAAATTTTTATTTTTATAAGCATTAATTATAACTTAAGTTTTAAAGTATTACTTAAAGTTTACAACTACTAGAGCTTATTATATATAAGTAGTAGTAGTAATAAAGTGCGTAACTTTATATTAAAGCTTATTATAACTTATTATAAGTTAAAAGAAACTAATCTAGCGCTTTAAAACTCTTCTTAAATATTACTAAAAGTAATTATAGCATTATAAGCTACTTTAAAGCATAGTAAGAACTTTATTTTTATAATATAAGTAATTTAGTTATGTATAAGGTTTTTAGCTTAGTGCTTATACACTTTTTTTAAAAAAGTAAAACAACTTATATTAAGTAGCTATAAAAAGTGTAATAAGTAAAAAATTATATAAATAGTAATAATTTTATTATTTTTATAGTATTACTAAAAGTAAAGTAAGTTATAGCTTTTATAGCTATTAATAACTAGTAAATAGTAGCTGCTAATAGTATACTTTTTTATATACATATTAAAGTGCTTTAACTAGTCTAAACTAAGCTAATTAGAAGTCTAGCTACACTTAAAGACTGTAATAACTTAATTTTAAAGTAGATTTTTTTATACTAGTTTAAAAAGTAATTACTACTTTAAAAAATAATAAAAAGTAAAATAGCCTACTTTTTAATATTAATGCTCTAGATAGCTGTTGTCTACTTCTAGTTACCTAGCTAGACTACTTTTAGCTGTCCTTATTTCTCTAAACTTATAATAACTGCTCTAGTAGATATTTAGCTTATTATGAACTTTATTTTATTAAAATTATACATGTTGTTATTCTAAATACTATACTTAGCTTTAATATTCTTTATAAAGTTAAACTAGCTTTAAATTACTATAAAAGTTTTATAAAAAGCTTTTTTATAGTTATAGTTATACTTAAACTTTACTTTAAGCTCTAAGTAGCACTTAATAAATATATTAGGCTAGTTTATACTAATATAGCTTATATTATGCTTAGCGTGTAAAGAATTAGCTATATTAGCTATAGCTACTAGCTAGAGGGGAAATCCTTACATATCTAGCTTAAGTATGTGCTAAATAATTACCTACTTTTTCTTATTATCTAGCTTTTATAAGTTAGCTATATAATTAGCTTAAAAAGGTTATCTAGTGTGTTAGTTACTTATTATCTTTTAAAAAACTTTATAAATAGCTGTAGTGTGTTACTTAAAAAGTATTACATCTTATTTAAAAGCTTAAAGTGTAAGCTGCATCTAATGTTCTTTTAACATGTCTAAGTAGTGTTATTAAAAATGCATTAGTGTAAGAAAAGTAGTGTAGTAGGGTCTTAGCAAAAGTAAGCAACTTAGGTGTGTAAGCAACTTGCCTGTGAAGTACGTTACTTAATTTATAATATACTTCTACTTCTACTTTTAATCTTTCTTTACTTAGTTTTTTAACCTTATCTAATAGCGTAAATATGCTGCTATAAAACTACCTTTTTACTTTTATCTTTTATTAAGTATTTCTAAAGTTATAAGCTTTTAAATATTATTTAATTCTATTTAAATTAGCTAGCTAAGTATTAGTGTAATAAATTTAATTTATAAAGAGAAAATATAAAAGTTAAAATAGGCTTTAAAATAAGCTATTAATTATCTAGTTTAGATTAAAACTAATAGAGATAGTTAAAGTTAAAGTCTTACTACTAATGTATGCCTCTTACTATTCTAAGCTCCGCTTTTCTAAGACATTTATGAATTGGCGTAGTATTTTATACGCTAGCGCTAGTTACAACAAGAGATCTCTGCAGGTAAACTACATGTTAACTAGAAACCTACAGCTTAAATGTCTGTAGATAGGCTTACTAAGACACTATCTAAATAGAAACATAAAGATTTTATCTACTAATTAGGTCTTTGTAACAGCGCAGGCAAGACAATGGGACTGAATGCGGTAGGAATCCACTCAGAGGCATATAGGAGTGCGTGGGGACTTAATGACCTGGGAATTCCATTCCTACCTATAGGCCTCGTACAAAAGGATATTAGAAAACTACTAAGCTATCTAAGGGGAGAGGTGCAACTAAATACTTAGGGGGAATAGGGGTAACAGCAGGGGACAGGGTCGAGTCAGGGTCGGGACCGATACGGGGACCCTTCGGATAGGTTCCGAGCAACCCGAGATGGAACGATTCATGAGAATCGTTACAGTCTTAAGGATATCTCTATAAACATCTATACTAGCATCTTCTTAAACAACTCTAAAGTTACATGCGACCTTAATTCACTCTTAGAAGACCCCTAACTATGCAATACCACGTACTAGCATTAACTTAGAATTACTATCTATCCGTTACGCATATCTCTTTAACCTTTTACTATATAAATTGCCTATAAGTAAGTTTTATATTATGCAGCTTTTACTCTGTTTAATTACCCACACATTTGCTTGATTTAAGCTAGGGGTGTGTGTTTGCAGTAGTCACATAATAGTTAGATGCGTTAGATGTGTTGTCACCATAGTTGTATGCATCTCACAATAGTCTATGTTGCCAAGACTTACCCACTGATTTCGCATATGTATAGATTCCTATGAGCACTCTTCTATCAATCAATCTAGTCCCTCATGCCTCTGGTGCTCCTCTTAGCTTCACAGATAAACTGACAGCTGTTCCGGATAATGCATATGTACACGCTAGATTCAAGACTCGCAACGGGGAAGGATACAAACTCTTCATTTCTAGCACTAGTTACTCCCCCGAGCAGTCAATCTGCCCCATTCACGAGCTCAGAACTGTCTTCATATGCATATGGCAAAATATCAAGGCGGGGTAAACGCAATGGTAGAGCGACGCAAGGAGCAGGACTGTAGGGGATCCAAGTGCAACCTATATTGTTAATGCCTTCGGGAACCGGCGATTCTGCCGGTGGTTCATTTGCCGTTGGTGATGAACCTTGCAAATAGAGGCTGGATTGGAGTCATCGTGCCATGAGTTCTGTGGAGACTATGGAGCTTGGTTAACTGACATTTTGAATGTGTAGGGGTAGGACAAAGCAGCATTTTGTAGCCGATGGGATATCCCTGGCCGGGGTTGTGGACAATGCGGCAAGAGCGGTGACTGATGATGACCTTACGAAAACGAGGGAGCTGGGGAGTATGTTGTCGCATACTACAAATCATTACTAGTATGAATTCAATTCGCATTCGTACTTTTGTGCAAAGAAAGAGGGTGTTAAGAGGACGCGTGTTTGTGATCTAACTTAGGACTTCGTTGTAACCCGTTGTAAATAACAATTTGCAGTAAAGGAAAGCAAGATCATGCCACAAGGTACGAGTGGAGAGTGAAGAGAGTAATACGCATTGATAGAAAGCGTGTATGGTACAAAACAATGCACAGGATGCACTTGGAAATCCCACCGTATTAATTGTTTGGTCCCCTGACCAAGGTCTATTCCAGGATGTCAACGCCACAACTCCGTGTATGCGATATGTCGTCTTCATTTCCACCCCCAAAGGTGTTTTATGGTGTCGCCAATGGTGGCTTGGCCGGCTTCTCTCCGCTTCATCCGATTTATGCTCTCTTCGACAAAAACTTTCCCCACCTTGCTGGCCATGCCGGTTTGGGCTTCCAATTCACCAAGGAGAGCTCTTTTCTCGATCTCCTGATCTTCAGGAGACATTTTAGCCATTTTCTTCTCATACTCCTCCCGGGATTCTTTCTTGATGTGACTCCAAATATCACTCTCACTTTCTATCGTTGCCTGCTCTTCTGATGCCAGGGAATTGGACAAAGGTTTCCCTGCGACAGCTCGCGCAACATTGTCCTTGGAAAGCACACTCTCGAATCTTGGAATTGGCATCCCCTCCTCCTTCGCCTTCTCAATTAGCTGCTCTTGCTCCCTGAACTGCTGATATAGCTTGTCCGCATGCATTTGTATCCTCTCGCTATCTTCGGCGCTCCTAGAATCCATAGTCAAGTATCCTAGTGCCTTCAAGAACTTGGTTTGCAAGTCATAGCATCGGTTAAACCTCCTTGACTCGGCATTGCAGAGCGTAGCTGTCTGGTACCAGCTCGGGCTTCTGAAGCACTCGTACTGCGCCATGTACTCGAAGGCGCAATTCTCGAGCGCCACACGGCCAATATCACTTTTTCGCTCATTGTATGCGTCGACAATGTCCCGTAGTTTATCCTGTTCGTTCTTCCCACGCTCATTTATGACACTCTGCGGCGTGTAATTTTTCCACAAGTCGGCATAGCGGCCATCCTTGAACTGTGATTGCGACGGAACGGTGGAGGTAGAGAGTTGCGATGAAGTACGATGGTCGGGGTTCAAGGATTCGGCGGGCTTAGGGGTGGTTGGGGATAGCTTCGACGGAAGGGGGGGCTTTGGGCCAGTAGGTGCTTCTGCATCAAGGAATTCGCGGAGTGAGGGGTCGAGGGTATCTTTGGCTGAGCTGCGTTCGCCGCTGCTCCAGAGCCAACCCATTACGCTCGACTATGCGCAGTCGAAGTGGTAGGTCCTACGTGAATCGTCTAGTTGGAGTGCACGCAGACTTCATGAAGACCTCGGTGGAGGTATTTTGCGGGGGATGGAACATCGATGATCCGCTGACTAAAGGCCACTCACGTGCGCCCCGCAATAGCGCGTCGACCCAGGTCCGCTCACAACAGAGCACGCACCGACAACACGACGCGTCTGACGCCACAACACATTAACCATTCCATTTTCCCCATTTGTTATGCACAACATTTCCAATGCCGCCAAATGGTATGTGGAAACATATCTCCTAAATCTACGATTTTCTAGCTAACCCAGCATTTAGATCGTCAGGAGCGTCGCCAGCAGCGTATGCGCGGTGCAGGGTCAGGAGCATCATATCGCGCCCAATTATTTGATTGCTGACGGCACCAGTTCCACTGCTGTTCAAACCAGTTTCTCCTTCAATATCCCCGGCCCTGCTCTACAACTGCACCCACGACGCTCCGCCAGAAGCACGCCACAGCCTCGATCTTCTAGACAACTCTCCGCGCCACCGTCTTCATCCTCCCGTCGAACGCTAGTGGCCACCGATGGCCAGGGTATCAGTGGATCAGCCCCGAGACATCGCAGTGCCTCAATTCACCGAAGCGGTTCCTCAAAGCAGCACAATACACCAGGTCAGCAAAGAGTGCAGCCTATAATTACACCTATCGTGCGCAAGAGGAAGCGCGGGTTGGTCGGCGCACAATCTGAACAAGATGACGATGGGATTGACCAATTGAGTCCAGAATACCATGATAGGGCGCTCGGTTCAGTGGAGAAAAGTAGGAGGGTGGCCGCCACAGTTTCTCCCATTCAGGAAGAGGTCGATTATGCCCCCGACGAGCTTTCTTTGGTAGAGACTGGCATGGACATCATGAATAGCGCCCAGAATATAGGCCAAGATATGTCACAGATGAACCAAATGACGCTGGTTTCGCGCGCTGCAAAAGCCCTATCATCAAACGAAGGTCCGCCAGCACGAACTCCAATAGCCTCGTCCGTTAGCCCGCCCATTGGCGTGTCGCGGGCTCTAGTACGGTCTGCTCAGAAGGCCGAATCCGCTGGACCACCACCCGTCACACCTGCAGATCGTTCCCGCAGCCGTCCGAAACGAGGCATGTCCGCACCCGCTGTACAAGACAGCCTGAGTGCATTGACATCGACCCATGACAATGACCAAGGCGAGGATGAGAGTGAGGATGAACTCACCCCGCTCCAGCCGAAAACAACAGCCACACCAAGCACAGTACAGCGGCCGACGCCGTCGCATGCAAGAGATGATAGCGATGCGGACGAGTTGTCTCTGGCCGACCTCTCCCCACCGAACACCGTCAAGCAAGTTCAAGAGACTTTGTCCAAGAATAGTAATAGGAAGCAGTCCAATTTCCCTCTACTAAGAACATCAAATCCAAGGGTTGGTAAATCTAGAGAAACCCACCGGCGACATCAGTTATCAAGGAAGCTCGTCCCTGCAGAAGTCCCCGACACTGATCCTGGACTAGCGGACGTGGAAACTCCGTCTATATATAACGGTCGCCGCCGTAATCGGAGGATTGTGATGGAAGATGAGCATCATAATGCTGATCTGACAGAAGGCAGCAATGTACAAGCATCCAGGCAAGAAGGCACCGAGGATGATGTGGAAGAGATGGAGGAGCATCCGGAGATGGACGAGCTGTCTCCTGACGTTGGCCACAGCCGGAATAGACGTATACATTCTGCACTCGACGTCCATTACGTTTCGACCGCCAAGAAAGAATCGGATGACAACCGCGAATCTGAGGCGGGAGAGGATCCCGCTGTTCCTGCTCGCCCTGTGCAAAATCCAGAACAACCTCACCCAGCCGGCAATGGTTCCAAGAGCACAAAAGCGACTAGGAACGGGTCTTGGAAACGGAAGGGGCGCAGACCCACCCAATTGATCAACGTACTGCGTATCAACGGTCTTCGCAATAATAGTATCACAGCTGCTGACTCTACAAGGTCTCTTGTGGAGGAAATTCTCCTGGGCGAGATCAATAAGGACGCAGAGAAGGTCAGCCGTGTAACAAACCCTGCCCGTCGTAAGCAGCTTAAGACGAAAATCATGCACACCTTGTCTTACAGCGAGGCTTTGGGCGAACGCTTAATGGTGCTTCAAGATGCTAATGATTCTCTTGTTGGCTCCTCGCTTCGGCTCAAGAAGTTCAAGAAACAAAAGTTGGACAAGCGGCGCGAGTACCTAGCCATTCAACGGGAGCGCCAAGAACTCGCAGTCAAGATGGATCAGATTCGTGAACACCACTTCTACGAGAAGGCTGCCTTTGACGCCCAAAACGAGCTCAGCAACTCAATATTCGACATCCAGATGGCTATTCGGAGCGGACGGAAGCAAGCGCAACATCAGGGAAGGGAAGACGAAGGTCCATATGCCCCATTGAAGATGGTGCTGGAAAATGTTGCCAAGAATGTTGATTCGGGAGGGTTGTTGGCTTCAGCGAAGAGTTTTAATCGTATCCTGGAGAGGGCGGCGAGCTTCCTGGAGGGAAGGGCGTGAATCTGCTTTGGTTCTTCCCCTCCACTGCTTGCATGGTGAAATGATGGAATGTGCAGATTCATTTCTGTAACAGCAGGCAGCACCATTAATGCTTCCCGACACGGCATGAATTGTGAACGCTTGTTATAGCCTTTCCTGAATAAAATGTGGTAATATAACAAAGGGCACGACTTGTACAGGTTTACTTTGTTTAGCCTCCTACCATGTTTGTTTAAAACTGGAATGGAAACGTGTTCTAGGTACAATGTAGAAATGAACAGAAATGGGCATCCTGCTGACAACCTTGCTGTTTCCAATAATAACCTGGGTATAGGATGTCGTCGCGGCAGTTCGTGCCCTGAGCAGAACTGATGGGAGGTCAACCTATTGTGTTGTTGCCCATTACAGTTGATTGACTGTTGGGGGAAAGGATTGCTTTTAATAGCAGACAAAAAGCAACATATCATCTTTCCAGAAGGGTACGTATCTACGCCTACTTCCTGTAGATCTCCTATTAATGTTCTCTTGCAGATGTGGTCATGGGTACCATTGGATACGTGCATTCACCGGCATTTTCAACTATGCTGAATAGGGTTAAGCGCTTTATGGCTAAGCGAGCATCGTCATTCATGGATTATCGAAGGCTCCAATGTCACAAGCCACAGCCAACTTCATCTCACTTACAGCGTCATAAGTTTCACTACCGGCCGCATTCATCAGTATTTAGTCTTCCCTTTACTACTTGATACTCTACGCCTATAAGGTTTCACTTGACTAGCACCTGGGCGCATTCGCAGCCTTCTCCACGATGTGCATCACGGCCAACGCTCGATACCTTTGTCTTACGTCTTTGTCGTAACTACGAGGGTTCTCGCGCATCTCCGCCAGAAGGATCGCCTTCCACCACATAGCGCGCCTGAGGCATGCCCTCTGAGAGCCCAAAAGTGTCTGCACCATAAAGAGCTTTCGCGTGGCCAGCGCTCCAGACAACTGGACCCACCAGCCTTGCTCCCATCACGCTAAACATGGCACGACGTTCTGATTCTAGTTTTAACCTCTTACCAGGGATGCGTCCGGGATTCTTGAACACCAATGCTCCTGCCGCACTGCGCACACCACGCAAGTCTACCAGGCCAGTGGCCTGCAGGTCTCCATGGAATCCCGAGAACTCATTATGGGTGGAGGAGAAGGAGCGACGTTTGTATCTACAACACCTTCGCGAGTGGTCGTTCAACCACGATTCAAGCCCGCATTTCCATGGATCCATTAGCCTGTATTATGGGTATGGGTCTGGATCCGAATTCAAGCTCGGTAGGCCAGTTAAATGTATCCTCACTGATTCCGCGAGCCCAGATGCAAGGAAGGTAGTATTAATCCAGCTTTTTGAGCCGAGATACAAAGGCGGTAGGTATCGGCTGCTTTTGCGATCTGGTGCGGGATGGATACCGGGTAGGCAGTATCTGGACAACGAATTCTTCACGCATCGGAAGCTTCAACATGCCAAGCCTGCGAATGGGCATTCCGAAGAAGTTGATCGGTACAAAAAGATAAAGTCAGAACTCCTTGGGCCAAAACCTGAAGCGAAAGACACGGTGATCATTCGTCCCTTGTTCCGGCACTTTACCCGTCTCCCTCTTGAAATCCAGCAGATGATCTTGGGATATTCAGTTGGCAAACTGGAGCTTTACAGGCCTGGTCAGAGCACAAGATTTAGCAGTTATCTTAGGTCTGCCGCCAAATTAAGGCTCGGTACGTACTTTCTCATACTCTTACTAACAGCTCATCCCTGGCCCTCCCTCAGCCATGTCCAACGCGTCAAAGTTAGTGCTAAGCATACCCACAGGGGAGAAAGTGACGAAGCTATCTACGATCTTCCTCATCTCCAAGAGTTTGAACGAGCACCTGGTCCCCTGGATTTATCGATCTACAACCTTCCACTTCGGCACTGAGGGATTCACGAACTTCATGTGGCTTTCCGGCCCCGTAAATCGCGCGTGGATCAAGAAGGTTACCCTGGCATTTGGCGAGCATGCCCCTATCCATTGTATCCGCTGGTTCGCCCCCGACCCGATCTTCGACTTGTTTGACCCACCATTGACGCTCTACCCACGGGCCATGCAGTATTTCTGGAGATGCCAAATTCAAGACCTAGTTCGTGAGCTTCATCTGAGTATCTTGAGTGTGGATATCTCGGGCTTGCACATGCAAGATATTCCATTCGTTGCTCAAATTCTTCGGAAGTGTTTTGGGAGCGTCGAGACCCTCAATTTCACGTGGTGTGGCACCCCTATACACCGTGGTGATGCAAGATTGGGCAATCTTGATGCGATGGATACTTGGGCTCAGCTCTGTGGAGACATTATTGGTCGGAATTTCAGGGACACCGTGTATTTCAGTGCGGCGCGCATGGAGGCGTCGATGGAAGATTTAAGCAAAGAGATGGCGGGGAACTGCTTTTTCTCTGAACGTACGAATATTTTTTTGAAATTCTAGAGGGCCGTAAGAGACAGTGGCTTAAAGTCGAAGGGCTGGTTCAAAAGGGGTTGATTGGGCGGGCAAGACTTCAGCACAATGCCGAATAACGGGGAATTAGGTTCAGATTAGATTTCGAGCATGCACTTCTACTCTGGTGTGGAATGTCAGAGGGTGGTAAGGAATAGGTCTCATAAATCCCACACTGATAGTGCTGCCCTTGGCGTCCTTGGGTATGCATGACGTGTTAGCTACGTCGACACGGCTGAATCATTTACGAGCTACAAAGTCATGATGGCCCTCAGTAGAATGATGAATATGATAAGTCAAATATTCAAATATAATTATAAGGAAAAGGCTGATTGAGCTCTAATATAACACCTGGGAATGCCCTCTACCACTTTTACGGTTGGGAACCATCAACTCAAAATGCGAAGGGTGCTGGTAGGAGGGCCTTCTCAACGAATGGGGCAGCGGCATGTTGTGTTACCGGCGTCGGCTGCGCCACGCTGCTGCCTTGCGTCTCCTAATCCTGACCTCCCGCCTCTATTCCCCATTTCCATCCTTATTTAACTCGTCATCGTATTGAGCAGAAATATTTCGCCCCACTTCCAGCCAGCGCTTGTATCTTTGACCATGTGCTTGAGAGACTGCATCTTACTTACTCTCTTTCCCAAGCAGACACACCAAGGGCCGCTGGTCGAAGCAACCAGCCAGCGGAATCCCGTGATAGCAATGTGCTCTCAAACCCAATCACCACTATTCGGTGTCATCCCTGCGGAGATTCGGAACGAGATTTTCTGGCTTGCGTTGCAGGAGTTTGATAACCCTGAGACGTTGTACCCTAGAGAAACATATTACACTCGGCCAGGGCAAATGGGGCCGAAGCGCATTGAGGTAGCATTGCTAAGGACATGTAAGAGAGTGTACGAAGAAACAAAAGTGATACCATTGAGCAATACGGTCGCCTGCATATATCTTGGTAGTCAGATGAGGGCTCCTAAAGGTACAAGAAATTGGATATTCTAATGCTCCGTTCTGCCATACTACGTACCCAGTAGTCGTAGAATCTTTACTGAGGAAAGGGCGAGACGTATAAGAAACTGCATATCGAGTCTAGGCTAACTTCGCGGCTAGATTATATTCGAGTTGGTGAGGTCTTTGAACTGCATCACATTCGGAGATTCCGAGCCCAATACTGGTCAGCCCTTAAACACGTTCATATTTTAGCGCAGCTATACGCTTTAAATGCACAAAACATACACCACGTTTTCCTTCAAAATCACCTCCGACCCGCTATATCGCCATCAACAGTAACTATCACGATTCGATACACGGATTGGTGGTACTGGGAGCAAAATACCGCCCACCAGTTGACAGTCCATGAGGTGGTTGAATGGGGACGAATGCTATTCCCCGACTCAGTCACCGAGATTGTCTTGGAGTTAGAGACCATTGAGACAAAGGTAAAGGAAGTGGACGCAATTGTGGCCATGATTACGAGGACACCACATCAGTGGGCCTTCGGTCGGAGAGATGGAATAAGGATGCTGCCTAGCTTAAAGAAGGGTGTCAAGGAATGGAAATGGCAGGGCCCGACAACTTTTGGGGAGCGGAGTAGAGTGTCCCGAGACCACATCATCTATCCGCACCACCCAAAAGGTGATACAATGGGCTATGTCGTCAAGGCCTTGACTTGGGTTCCTGAGGCATTGACTAGGGGGGGGCCTTCTTCTGGCGAATAACTTCACTGTTAATCTCGTCAACGAAGAGTTGGAAATCGCTGACCGTAGCCGGGCTTAACCAACTAACCTAGAGCTAGGAATATCACCGATCTCATAGTTACAGGTTACCTCCTAGCAAAGAAAAGTGTCTGGAAGTCATCTGGCAAGATGCTAACTATTGCTGCTTTGTTCGTAAACCCTTTCCGCGGCGTAGGATTCGCTTCCATGCCTCCGTTCCCAAATTACCGCAAGGTCCATTCCTCGTCGTTGTACTGTTTGTACACGTAAACCGAATGGCGTCAAATATGGGACCGAGACAAACCTTTCTCCAGCCCCATAGCTCAGGATCCTAAAATGCCTAATCAAAAATGAAACTTCTCTTTGTATTCGTCACACTAACTACCGCTGCCGTCACAAACCTGGCAAGTGTGAACACGACCAACGAGACCACTACCAGTAAAGTGCGGCTAGGTTATGCTTGACGGTCACAAATACAGTTTATCGAACATGAACGCGAGATGAACAAGCGGTAGATTTCGTTAATTCTAGCTGCGTACAAGTATTACAATACTAAAGTTTATATAAACGCAAGAATTTTGCTAAGCGAAGTAAATTGTAATAGTACTATTATTGTAAAAGCTCTAACGTTACCTTGTATATAGTAAACAAATTATATAACTAATCTATTTATGTAGACCATTACACTTTAAAGATAGATTCTGTTAAAGTTAGCTAGCTATTTAAAACTATACTAGCTTCTAACTCTTGTTTTACTTAAGTATTATCTATATAATATATCTAACCTATTCTATTATCTTATATTTTTTTCTATAATAACATACACTAACGTACTTTACAGGCAAGTTGCTTACACACCTAAGTTGCTTACTTTTACTAAGACTCTACTAAACTACCTTTCTTACACTAATGCATTCTTAACAACACTACTTAGATGTGCTAAAAAAAAAAGTTAGATATAGCTTATACATTAAGCTTTTAAATAAAACATAACACTTTTAAAGTAACATACTAGAGCTGTATATAAAGTCTTTTAAAAAATAATTAATAACTTATATACTATAACGTACTTCATGGGCGAGTTGCTCACACACCTAAGTTGCTTACTTTTGCCAAGACCCTACTAAACCACCCTTTCTACACTAATGCATTCCCCATAACACTACTTAGACGCGCTAAAAGAATGTTAGATACAGCTTACGCTCTAAGCTTTTAAATAAGACATAAAACTCTTAAAGAAATGTGCTGTAGCTATGTGTAAGGTTTTATAAAAGATAATAAATAACTATAGCGCTAGACAACCTTTATAAGCTAATTTTACAGCTAAATTATAAAGGCTAGGTAATAAAAAGGAGCAGGTGATTATTAAGACTATACTTAAGCTATATGCGTGAGGAATTTCCCCTTAGATAGCATTTATAGCTAATATAGCTAATTCTTTGCGCGCTAAGCGTAATCTAGGCTATGTTTACATAAACTAGCCTAGTATGTTTATAAAGTGTTATTTAAAGCTTAAAGTAAAGTTTTAAGCGCAAGTATAGTTAAAAGATATCTAGCTAATTATAAACCCTGTTTTGCTAAAGTTGTACATGTTATTATCTTAGATGCTATACTTAGCTTTAATATTCTCTATAAGGCTAAACCTGCCCTAAATTACCCTAGGACTTTTATAGAGGGCTCTTTTATTGTTGTACTTACGCTTAAATGTTACTTTAAGCTCTAAATAACACTTTACAAATGTACTAGGCTAGTTTATGTAAACATAGCCTAGATTACGCTTAGCGCGCAAAGAATTAGCTATATTAGCTATAAATGCTATTTAAGGGGAAATTCCTTGCGCATATAGCTTAAGTATAGTCTTAATAATCACCTGCTTCTTTTTATTACCTAGCCTCTATAATTTAGCTGTAGAATTAGCTTGTAAAGGTTATCTAGCGCTATAGTTATTTATTATCTTTTATAAGACCCTGCACATAGCTATAGCACATTTCTTTAAAAGTTTTATGTCTTATTTAAAAGCTTAGAGCGCAAGCTGTATCTAACATTCTTTTAGCGCGCCTAAGTAGTGTTATAGAGAATGCATTAGTGTAGAAAGGGTAGTTTAGTGGGGTCTTAGCAAAAGTAAGCGACTCGGGTGTGTGAGCAACTCGCCCATGAAGTACGTTATAAGTTGTCGCGTATACTAAGAGCCTTAGCTGGGGCTCGGAGCCTAGGGCTGGGGCTTAGAGCCTGGGACGCAGCTTAGGATCTAGAGATATTATGTTCCAAAGCTTAGTGTATATAAGGAGAGCCTTTAGCTCTCTTAGATAGCAGAGTTACTTTATCTAATCTTCTAAATAGCTACTGCTAGGCTATTTTATGTTCTATAGTTATAGGCCTAGCGCTTTAAGAACTTAAGATAATTCTTTTTATATAACTATAGCGCTAGTAAAAGCTGTTTAAAAGCTTTATTTTATATTTTTACTTATTCTTATTATCTTTAAAGCCTATGTTATAGCTAATTAAGATGCTTTTCTTCTAATAGAAGTGTACTAGCTTAAGAACTACATAAGCTAGCCTCTTTAGTTTATCTAGCTCTAGTTCTATGCGATTAGTAAAAACCTATTAGACATAATTAATCTAGATAGACTAGACGCTCTAAATCCTATAGACAGCGCTCTAGAGATGCCTATACTTAGAGTAATTACTGCTAAGAACCCTCTAAAAAAGGCTAACATATAGTACTAAACTAATATTACTAAGTACTAAGCTTAATTAAGTAACTAGGCTTTCTATGTAACACATTATTAGATAATTTAGAACTAGGTTAATATAACTATTGCACTAAAGCTTTTTAGACCTATAATAATACAGCTTATATTAAAAAACTAATCTACTATTATTGTCACAATTGTGCACAAGTAAGGTTATAGAGCTTCACAGAGGTCTAGTTTAATTACTACGTGAGGTATTATGGTAGGTATAAGACGTTGTGTGAGGAACAGGAAGGTTTAAAAGGAAATTAGTAATTAAATACTTAGCTTAGAAGTCTAAGCGCTTTAAGTATAAATTAAGCTTATTTTAGGTTTAGTTAGTGTTAAAGCAGTTTATGCTTAAGTTTATGTCTATATTATGTTATGTTTATGTTAGACGTGCACTAATAATACTCTAGTACACGTCTAATACAGTTATGTTTAGAATCTAGAGAGGATACTGTAACAGTACTCCCTCTTTTATTAGAAAGAGAATCCTTTACATTAGTAGTTCTAGCATTAGGTTGTCTTTGTTAGGGTACAGGTTTAGTTTAGATAGGTATTAGGCGTAGAATTAGGTTACTGTAGAGTTCTTTTATAGGGCTTCTACAGGTTCCTACAACAGTTTGTTATATCTAGTTTATTTTATAAAGTATTTATAGATATGTTTTTTTTGTTAAACTAAATCTATTTAACATCTTCTACAACATATTCTAGTTTATTATTTATAATAACAGGTTTAAGTAGCAGGTTTAGCTGTCTAGGTAAATAGTTAGATTTAAAGGCTACTTAGCGCAGCAACAATATGTAAAACACAGGGTGTATCTTTATGCTGTTAGGTAGGATTAATTAGTAAGCATGTAATAAGACTATATAAGCTACTATAAAAGGGCTAAGGTTTTTCTAATTAAGTTTCTTTAATTATTAGTTTATTTAGATATTTCTAGCGTCTAGCTAGACCTTCTTGCTAGCTGCATACGTAAGGGCAAGGGTTTAGAATTAGTTTACGTACTCTTATTAAAGAGCTTAAGCCTATGTAAGCTCTTTACAAATGTATTTGGATATGTTTTAGATTTTATTAATAAGTCTATTTATATTTATTACTTATATAAATTAATAAGTTAGTTAGGGAGTATTTATAAGTAGTTTAAATTCTATTTAGAAGTAGTATCTATAGTTTACTAAGAATAAGGATACTTACATTAATTTAGATGTTATGTTATTAGCTTTAAACTATACTATAGCTAACTATTTTACCTAGTTGTTTTGCTAGTAGTTTATATACACTTATAAGACTTATTTTATTACAGCGTTTACGTTCTTAGTCTAGCTATTAGTCTCTAGGTAAAAAGCTATAGATAGATAAAGAATAATTTAGAGCTATTTACAGAGTTTGTCTTAGAAGGCTAAGACAAACTATGTACCTTTGTCTAATATAATTATGTTAAGCAGGCTATAGTAAACTTATACATATTAGTAGAATAACTAGGCTATATTAGGGGCAGTTATAAAGGAACATAGTATTAAGTGTTAATACTTAGTTAAGTAATTAATAACTACTATAATATTTATATACTTTTTAGATAAAGGTAGGTCTATAATAAAATTAATTAATATGTCTTTTTAAGCTTATTTAGAGATTAGGAGCAGTTTAAGTAGGCTATTATACCTTTCTTAAAAGGCCTTTACTTTATAGTAAGTATAGCAACATAATACGTATTAGCGTACAGTATAGAACATGCAGGGCTAGTAGTACTCTCTCTGTAGTAGGTTAAGAGTCTTTCCTCTGCCTAGGTGTCCTCTAATAAGTAAGTTGTATATAATTTAGAGTAGTTTAATTCTTAGTTTATTAGAATTAAGAATTATAAGTTAGTTATAGTAATATAGCTTACTATTTTAGTTTTTGCAGTTAGCTAGTGTTACCTTCTTTAACTAACTAGTGCTGTTTTAGAGCAGGTTTAAAGTTTTTTAGATAAATTTATTATTTAAATACTTATTAGTAATAATCTAATTAATTATCTAATCTATTTTATTTAGGTTAAGGTCTAAAAATAGCTTAAGTTAAAGCAAAGTTTAGTGTTAAGCCTTTTACACTTTTTTTTAAGCAGAGACATCTTAGAATTGCTTTATAAGAGCATCTAGTTTCCCTTTATTTTAACTAAGATAATAAGTAATCTTAAAATTAAAACAAAACAGGTATTTAGACTAACAGGCTTATTAGTAGCTAAGTTGTTTTATAGTTACAAAGTACTATAAGTTCTTATAGTTAGA